CCCTTTCCCAGTGATACTAGCCCTGGCAGAGCCCCCATGCCATTCAAAGACCGAGTGTGCATTTCGGTTTCCTTCCAAAATTCAAATGGCCACTGCTGTCTGTTTTGGAGCCTGAAGGGTTGTTGATAGCACTTGGTTTGGGCAGCCCTCTTTGTCTTGCTGCTGGGGAATGGCTGCCTCTGTTTCCCCTGCAGAGGATGTTGTAGTGTTATCTGGATCAGGTAAGGAAGCCACTGAGTCCATCACCGTGGCTGAGTTGGAGAGCTTGGTGAAGTGGAAGGTGAAATAGTTGAAAATCAGCTTTTTCATTGAGCAGAAAAAAGAGTAGAAGAGAAGAAGAGATTGGATTTATACCCCACCCTTCACTACCCAAGCTTACAAACTCCTTTCCCTTCCCTTCCCCTCCCCACAACAGATACCCTGTGAGGTAGGTGGGGCCGAGAGAGCTCTGACAGAAACTGCTCTTTTTTCAAGAACAGCTCTTATCAGAATATGGCTTGCCCAAGGTCATCCAGCAGGTGCAAGTGGAGGCGTGGGGAATCAAACCCAGTTCTCCCAGATTAGAGTCCGTGCACTTAACCACTACACCAAACTGGCTCTCAGATATATATCCAAACTGGCTCTCAGACACACACACACACACACATCCAGAAGTAAAGGCACATGAAGGAACAACCTTAGAGCTCCACAAAGAGGCATGGAGCTCCTCCCTTGCCCTCAGGAGGAAGCAGGAAAGAGAACTGAGAGTGGTGGGTGCTCTGTCTATGCTGGAGACAGAAATAATAACCTGCTTCCTGTCCTCAGGGACTGTGGGCAGGAGAGTAACCAATCTTCAGAGTATCCTCATCTTCTCAAGTGAAAACTCTGTATTTTATGTACATATCATAAATATAGAAAAGGTGACTTTTTGGCCAGGCTATTCTGTCCGAAGCCTTTATTTGTGGCTTGGGGAAACATTTGATGATGTTGCGTATTTAGTGGGTGGTACTGAATTGAAGGTGAAGAGCCACTGCTTTCAGCTGATGAATGTTCCAGTTAAAGCACATAGACTAATAAATAATGTGTTTTGTCCTTTGCCCTGTGGCTTGAGTCTCTTGGAATTTGGCTATATTTGCCCAGCAGTTCCATGTTTGAGAAGCCAAGATAGGAAGGCAGGCCCTTCTTAGACAAGGGAGTGCTGAAGGGAATGCTGAAGAGAATTATACATGTGCAAAAGGGTAAGAGATGAAGTTGTGTTAATTAGTATCTGTTCCAAATTCAAATATCCATGGTAACTTTTGCCATCATTTTCGGTGGAAAACTAACTTAAGATGCAGCCGCTAATGTGCTGTTTTCTGTGTAATGTGCCTCTGCTACAGATGCATTTTCACATGTCCTCCAGTAAACAAATTTCCATAACTATTCAAGCAAGGCACAATTTATTTTAAGTGGAATTGTTGAATTGTGGAACTATGTTTATCAAATTTAGATACCGTAGTTCTGAGGAATTCTAGCAAGTGCAGTTGCTTTATTTATACCGTAAGCCAAATGCATGTTTATTGTCTATGCTAACTCTAATATATTTTCACCAGCTAGATTTCTGTTGAGTATACACTCCATTCTGATAGACTCTTAACAGTAATTTTTGCATTACATTCACTGAAGGACTTGTGGCCCAAGCTTGGGACAGAGATGACATCACAGGATAGAAAAATGCTGTCAGACACAAGCGTCTCGGGGCTCAAAGCACCACAGTTCACATTCTGACACTCTTACCAAATAAACCGAAGATTAATTTCACTCAAGTGCAGAATTTCCGTGCACAGATACATAGCATTTATGCAGTGGTTTGGATTGCTCGAAGCACTTTGTTACATTTTTAACTTGCAACTACCAGACAAGGTAGGTCAGTATTTTTATCCCTGTACTGTGAGCTGAGAGCTGAGAAACAGAGGCCTCCCTATAGCCAGTCACTGAGTTTGTGGCAGCTCAACAGCAAATCATTAAACCAAAACAGCCTTTTTGCATCTTTCTCAGGCTCAGACATGAGGTGATAGGCTTCGTTGTTTAAACCTTGCTCTGCCCCATCACATGCAAAGCAGAGTTGACGGGGGGGGGGGTTGATTTTAAGAGCAGGTAAATGGAGTGCTGCAGCTACCTCCACTCAGATCAGTCCGTGAACTCCCATTTTCTCCCAGCCATGCTCCAATAACAAAAGTAGACCTTGCTGGGGGTGGGGGGGAGTACCTGGGGCGATGGACTTGTGTATGCGTGTCTTGGATTTTCTGGAGGATACCAAGGAATGTCACCCTTTTTAAAATGGATGCATGAAAGTTACAAAGGCAGAGAAAGTCTTAAGAAAGCAGCGTGTTAATCATTTAAAATTAGGATGAGCCATTTTTATCTTCAGGCTTCTACCCTCCAGTGGCATAGTGTTCAGTGATTCTGTCCTATTTCTATTGGTGTTCTAAATAATCCATTGGTGAAGTAAAAGGGGTCATGGGGGTGAGAGAGACAAACTGAAATTCAAGGTCATATCGTCACAGAGCAGCCTTGGAAATCTGTTCAGTGAGCTCAGTGGAAAGGCAAGGGAACTGGCTTTGTTGTTGTCATTTGCTGATAAACAGGGTTCATGCATTGCCTCATGCATTAAGGTGAAGGAACATTAGCTGAAAGTTTGGGCGTGACTCTGGTTTGGAGTGCAGTTATGTGTAAGCTGTCACTGATGCACATTCACATTCTGCTTATCAATAATTTACAAAGTCTGGCAGTGTTGGGGGGGGGATAGTCCTCATTAATGTTGCTTAGCCAGGTAATTTGAAAGAAGACAATACGTAAGGAAAGCTGTTCTCTTGTTCTTTCAGCCTTAGTGATCCATCCCTGTAGTATATGGTTAATAATACCAGCCTACTCTATGGTGTTCTTGCATGTGATTACTTGAAGGAAGAAGAGTTGGATCTATACCTCCCCCTTGACTTGGAGTTTCAGAGCAGCTTACAATCACCTTCCCTTCCTCTCCCCACAACAAACACCCTGTGGGTGTAGGTGGGGCTGAGAGCTCTGTGACTGACCCAACGTCCCCCAGCTGGCTGCATGTGAAAGAGTGGGGAATCTGACCTGCCTCTCCAGATTAGAGTCCTCCGCTCTTAGCCACTACACCAAACATTTGAAACACCAGCCTTCATAAGTGCATCAAGTACCAGAGCAATGAAATTGTGCCGAAAACTGCGGTCTTATAGACAGAACTCATACAAACAGTTGCATTGTAATACTTTTTAAAAGTCCTGATTCCCATGGCTCAGATTAGTGGGACTGTGATGATGAATTCTAAAAATTCTCCTACAGATTCCAGTCCTATTTATGGCACTGCCTCAGTTGGCCACAAAGTTGTCTAATTCTGGATGAGGCTGGCAGGTGAAAGTAGTTGGGTTCAGTGAGGTCTGTTTTCTGGAAAAATGCACATTGGACAATGACCTAAACAGAGTGTGATCTTATTTAGCGGGTTTGTTTTGACTTGTATTTAGTAAACAATCTGATTTTATGCTAATTTTTAGTCCAATAGCAATAAATGCATGAACTGAAACATTGGATTGAGGCAGGATGATCAAGTGTATTCTACATACTCAGAAAATTCCAAGTTCTTTGTGAAAATTGTTTTTGTATGTCTTACTTTTCTTTGTTAAAGGACTTACTTTTTATAGATTACATGTAATTCTCCCCCTCCCCCCCAAAAAAGGTATAGAAAGTAAGTGGCACACTAATTTTAGCACACCCGAAGAACTGGGCATGTTATCTCATGGACATGAGTGTCTCCTCTTCTGTTGCAACAGAGTTGAGCTCTGCCACCTGACACAGGTCCCTGGAGCGCCTTCGTTTCACCACTGTTGCTCTCTCTACAGCATCACTTGTGTTACTTGTGGGTTCCATATCAGATTGGTGAATTACAGTATCCTCTCTACCATGTGAGAAGAGGCATCTAAATAAGTGTTTTAGCTTTGGTTTGATTTGACCTGTGGAGCCAATCAAGAGACTTCATACCTTGATTTTTTTTTAAAAAAAATATAGATTACATGTAATTCTGGTTTTATTCCCATCCCAGTTACAAATCAATGAAATCAACATGTACTCTTACTCATTTCCTAGCAATAATCACCTAAAAACACTGGACTGGCTCCAATCCCTTTTCATTCTATCTCACCTAATTCCCTTCCAGGCGGTTTTGTCTATGAAGGTCTGATAGTCCCCAACAGCTTTTGGGGTAGTCAGAGTTGACCCAGTCCTCTTTCCTTCACCAGTGGAAGAGCTGGTCGGTCCAGCCCACAATTACAACTTTGAAACTGCCAAGCGTGCCCAAGATTGTATTGGGAATGAGATCCATTATTTTTTTTTAGTTTGACGGTGCAGTGCATCTTTAGAAAGGGAAATATTTCTGCATTAAAAAAAACCCACTGGAAAGTTTTCTGCCCCATATTTCTAGTTGAGCCTGTACTGGTGAGAAGACTTGCATCAACTCCAAAATTCCAGTTGTGTTTCAGGGTGCCTGTAAGTGGGTGACACTACAACAGTTTATGCTGCTTGTTGATTGAAACGGGGAGGGTGTGTGTTAATCACTCTTCTAAGTGATTAACTGTGCTGTTCTAAGCCCACTGACTTCAGCAGACTTAGAAGTGTATAACTCTGGTTAGGACTGGTATAAAAGCAGGAATATAACTGTTCAGGATTGGTGTAAAAGCAGGAACTATGGAACATATTCTTCACAATGGAACAGCAGTCAGTTAAGCATGGGAGTCGGCAGTTGTGTGAAGATTTATCCCGGTCTTGAGAAATTTGACATAGTTTGGAGTGGCTACTACTGTTCACTGTAGATTTTTAAAGCTCACAGATAATAGTAATAATGAAAGAGTAATAACGGTTTTAAACTTAACGTTACATTTGTTACTGATATAAAACGTTTCTAAAACTTGTTTGAGTTTGAAAGGGGGAAATGTCTGGAATGCTAGAAAGATCTGCATTTATATATCATGGGTATGTGTTGCTGGTAGGAAAAAATAAATTGTAACTTGTTAACTGGCCCATTGATACTAGGCTAACATGCATATAGATTTTAATTTTAGCTCTTTACCGTAGTAAAATCCACTGATAACTGGCTTTATAGAGGTTTGATGTGTCTATGAACTGAAATTGTTTTTCAGTCTGTGTTTAGGCACAACCCTCTCCTTTATTCTGTAGGCACTCTCATACAACATATGTTTTATCTTTGTTGTACACATATAATATGCCACTTCTGATGGCCTGAGATCAGAATGGCAACTAGTACATCTACATTTAAAGAAGAAGAGATTGGATTCATACCCCGTCCTTCACATGGAGTCTCAAAGCTGCTTACAAACCCCTTTCCCTTCCCCTCCCCACAACAGACACCCTGTGAGGTAGGTGGGGCTGAGAGAGCTCTTTCAGGAACTGCTCTTTCAGGAACTGCTCTTGTCAGAACTATGGTTTGGCCAAATAATCCAGCAGCTGTATGTGGAGGAGTGGGGAATCCAACCCGGTTCTCCCAGATTAGAGTCCGCACACTTAACCACTACACCAAACTGGCTAAAGGGTATGATGGTGAACTAGCTATTGAATAGTCAGTCCCCCAGAAAAGTTTTGTCCTCATATCCGTGCAAATCAGGATTTGAAGATTTTAATTTCAAATATTGCAGTGAATGAAACTTGAGAACAATATTTGCAAGACTGGCACACTTTTTTTTGCACAGTCTGCACTGTGGAATGGCGTGCCTTTCTTCCTCTGCATCTCTGGTTGTGACACTCTACATTCTGAATAACACTGGCAGATTGATTTGAGAGTTACTGTGGCACTGATGACCACTGTCTTCAGAGTGGACTAAGCTTTTGAATCTGTCCCTGACTTAAATGCATGAACTGGGATGAACATAATCTTTAACACAAAGATTGGTGCTTACATGTTCTCTTCATCAGCATAGGTCTTAATGGAGTTTCTTGTTGATGCGTGGCAGTAATGTTTTAAGTTACCATTATCAAGTGTATATGAGATGCCCCATGAGCAATTAATTTTCCAGATGATGCTTTTTTGTATACCGGTGTGAATACCAGAATGCAGACCCCATACATTTATTTATTTTAAACATTTATATGCTGCCTTCCCACCCAGATAGGGTCCCCATGGGTCCTAGCATGTTCATTAGAGTGGAATGGGACTAAAAATGTACCCATGCACATTTCATGTTGAGACACAGCGTGTGACTTTCTCATCTAAGCCAGACATTTTATTGGTGTAGTTCATTTGAATATAGGAGTATACTATATGGATATATGATGGATGTATCCTGAAATAGTGAAATGCAGCAACTTTGGCCTTTAGTGCACAATAGCTTGTAATCAAACACTTGTGAATTTCAATATTTTGAGGAAAGTAGGATTGAAATACTATAAAGAATAAAACATCTGGTGCTATTAAGTATATACTCATTTGGGGAAGGATAAGACTGTTTTGGGAACAGAAGAACAAAATATTGGTTAAGCAAGTGAAATAGAGTGTTTTCTTAGAGTAATTTTAGCAGCTATATTCAAGCTTATTTATTATTTATACCCCGCCCTTTCCCCAAGGGACACTCAAGGTGACATGGTGAGCACAGAACAATAACATTACAGAAAAAAATCACTTTAAAAGCTGTAGATATTACCAAGTGGAAAGATTTCCTAGTTAAATGTAGTATAATTTGGCGTTAATGAATTTTTGTGGGTTTTTCCCCCCCAGGTGTCAGCTGCGATGCATGTTTAAAAGGAAATTTTCGAGGTCGCAGATACAAGTGTTTAATTTGCTACGATTACGATCTGTGTGCATCTTGTTATGAAAGTGGTGCAACAACGACAAGGCATACAACTGACCATCCAATGCAGTGCATACTAACAAGGGTAGATTTTGGTAAGTATTCTATGTATGTGCCTGTTTAGTCATGTTGGTGTGATTCATCCTCTTGCAGAATGGAACCTGAGAATTCTGCAGTCTTCCCCTGTGGTGGAGCATGTAAAAAGTCTTCTGTTCCCTTCCTTAAGCAAAAAAGTTTTATTTGTATAGCACTTATTTATCATTTCACACTGGAATGTTTTGTTGTATGAGACAAAAAGAAATGTGCACAAAATTCTTGTCATTGCTTGTTTATATGTAAGCTTAGCTTTATACCATTCAGTAACCACTTTATACCATTCAGTAACCACTTTATACCATTCAGTAACCACTTTATACCATTCAGTAACCACTTTATACCATTCAGTAACCACTTTATACCATTCAGTAACCACTTTATACCATTCAGTAACCATTCAGTTGTTAACCAGTTGTTTTCTATACTGGCCCCAGTAGTCAGTTAAATGGATCTTTTAAAAAAACGTAATGTAATTGAGAGAAAGTTATGGTTGACTTTTTGTTGTGGCAATGACAGTCACTGTTACTTGCTATATCATATATTTAATCCTGAACAATGGCCCCGGAATGGGAATTTAAAAAAAAGAAATCAGAGTCCTGGAGCTATGTGTAGATGGGAATTTTTTGTACAAACCCAAGAAAATATGTAGAAAAAGGCCAACAAGTGGAGGAGGAAGAGAGGAGGAGATTGAATTTATACCCTGCCCTTCACTGTCTCAGAGCGGCTTACAAACTCCTTCCCCTTCCCCTCCCCACGACAGACACCCTGTGAGGTAGGTGGGGCTGAGAGCGCTCTTTCAAGAACTGCCCTTTCAAGGACAGCTCTTGTCAGAACTATGGCTTGCCCAAGGTCATCCAGCAGCTGAAAGTGGAGGAGTGGGGAATCAAACCGGTTTCTCCCGGATTAGAGTCCACGCACTTAACCACTACACTAAACTGGCTCCGGCAGAAAGGGCAGCCGGCAGGTAAGGAATGACCCTTCTCTTCTTTGCCTGTTTGCCAGTGGGATCTCTCTTCCCCACCTCCCCTCTCCTCCGCTCCCCCCCTGGATGCCCACCACCTAAAATTTTCTGGCTAAGCCCCTGCTGTGTTATCCTTTTCTGATAGACTGTTTTCTTCTTCTGCAAGTAGTAGCATTAGTTGAGTATCTTCTCTCTGAGGTGCTGTTTTGCCTTCTGTTTTAAAAAAATCAGTAGTTTATATTATGTGTGGCTATCATATGTAGTTGTGCATAGTTATAGTGCATACAGTCTTCTTTGCAGTGTGCTGTAGCAGTTAGGCACCTATGGCAAAGAAGACTATCTTTAGACACTGCTGGCAATGCTGAGGGCAAGCTCCCTCTTTCAGATGGGCATGATCATTGTCTCCACTGCTCAGGGGCAGACTAAAGATGCCTGCTCTTGGGAGAAAGTGCTATATGATTTGTTTTGAGCATCCTGGAGAAACTGAGCGAACGATGCAACCCTATGCGGAGTTATTGCAGGCTGTGAGTTGCTCATGGTGGAGACGGCTGCCTTTTCCTATCATGTTCTGGTTGCTCATTTTTATTAGCAAGTAGATCCTCTCTGAAAAGCACTGTCCATTGCAGAGGGTTTTATAGCAACCTGCAGAGTAGTGCCAGGATTCCTTTCTGTTCTCCCCTTCTTCTGTTCTCCCCTTCTTCCCTGGCTGAACTGTCGGTGTGGAAGCATACATTTGCTCTTGATTTCCTGATCTGCGTAGCAATGTGAGTTTTATAGGTGAGCTTAATCTAAGTAGCTCAGACTTGTAAATAGTCGATGCCCAATTGCCTCTGATGAATAGGACTTCTTCCAGGTGACCAAGCTTAGCTTGTGTAGATTAGAAAAAAGTTTATCTTAAGCCCTTACTATGCCTTAACGGAGAGATGTATGAGTGAGCCAGCAGGCTAGTAAAATACCTTTGGGACAATAACTTTTGCAGACTTTGTTGGGAAATGGTTATGCAGAAAGGTTTTTTTAACCTCCTGAGGCCTGTCAAGTTTCTGTGTTTTGAAATATTTTGGGTTGTCCCCCATTCATTGTACAGGTCTTTTGCCTTTCTCTTCTGTTTCAGGACATGACCTGGGGGTGGTTTTGTGTTGTATGTATGTGGGGGTAGGCTACTTAGTGCATTTAATTTGTTTGTTGAAATATCAAGGTAATGCAGCAATGGCTGCTCTTTCTCAGAGATTGTTTATAGAGGTATAATTGGGGGGGGAAACCCTAAAGGCTTTTCCCTTGAATTTCCGTGACACTAGCAGTGTCTGCGTGCATTTGGGTTGCTTCCAAGGCAAAACCCTTGATCCTACATGAGTCAAAGACAGAGGTGATGACCCAAACATTTCCCAATGTAGGTGTGATCGAAAGAACTTCCTTGATGGGTGTGTCTTGCTTGAAGTGGCAGCTCTTAGCCCTCATTCTTCAGCTTGATTTAATGAGGCGGATCTTCTCACCAAGTGCATTTCTACTGCCTCTTCATTGAAGCAGGCAACAAAAGGTCCCAGTAGGGGCAAAGCCTATTTCTTGGCAGTCTTCACCACAGTGGAAGAACTCAAATACTAGAAGCTGCCTGGTGGACGGGTTCAAGCAAAACTTTCTTGGGCAAACAGTAGTGTGGCATCTGATAGCAATCTTTCTGTCTCCTTGTCTGAGGGTGAACTCATGTATTAATCACTACCACATAATCTCCCTGCTCAGGCAAAGTTAGAATTGGAAGAACTTTCCAAATCCACAGAGGTTTTGACTGTGAGGCACTTTCAAACAAGAAATTATCCCATAGTGTTCAGTGGGACGTACTGCCATGCAAGTGTGCATAGGATTGCTGCCTTAGTTATGTGGGTTTCAGGCTTTGTTAAAAGTCTCAGGTGCTGGTGGGAAGTGGTTGTGTGTTCCCATGGTTTCTTAGCTCTGGCGCTGGCCTGGCGGAACACTCTTCCAGTTGCGATCCGGGCCCTGCGGGACTTAAGAATCTTCGACGTGGTCTCTGTGCTTCACACCCATGGGATCTAGTGCGCACGTGCTGGATCGATCGGTGCTGTAGCAAGCTCTTTTAACGGATTTTCGTGCCCAGTCCCTCGGGCATGCGCAGGAACCCCACCGCGCATGCCCAGAAGGGTGGGCGCGGACATCCCACCAGTTCCTTTCTTACCGCCGTGTTGAGTAAACCTATTTTTCGTTGGTCAGATCGGTTCGCTTTTGGCTATTTGCCCTCAGCTCTTCGGAATTATTTCCTTATTTTAATTTTCCTGTCCTTTCTCTTTTTATTTGTTTGTTCTTAAAAAAAACCCCAACAACATTTATTTCTGTTGAGGGGGAGTCTACTGATTACCTCAGGCCTTTGGGCTATTCCCCTCCCTCGAACGTCCCCTCTTCTTCGCTTTCTTTTATGGAGGAGAAGTGGGGTTTTTTCAATAGGTGCAAGGGTTGCAGCAGCAAACTTGCTCCTCCCGACCGTCATACCCTGTGCATTTTTTGTCTCGGAGAGTCTCACCGGCCAGAGTCCTGTCGTCACTGTGCTCGTTTTTCTAATCGAACACGAAAAAACCAAGCTGCGTGCCTTAAAGTAGCGCTACTTGAATCGGCCCTTACTCCTACCTCAGTGATGGAGGAAAGACCATCAACATCGAAAAAAGCGAGCTGTGCGCCTTAAAGAAGCACTGCTGGAATAGGCACTTACTCCTACCTCTGCGATGGAGGAGAGACCATCAACATCGACAGCTCCGGCATCGAGACCTGCCTCCGATGCCGACTGCCCGACACCGAAGCTCCCGGCATCAAAGGCACAATCTTCCACGCCAATCAAAAAGAAAGCCAAGGCAAGTAAGGATCACAAGTCCGCGAGGAAGGGCACCTCAAAGTCCCTTAAGGCGGCGAAGAAGGGGAAGGAAGCGGTGCCTGCACTGGGTGATGCCCCTAAAGTGCCTCCCGCTCCAACAGCAGTATCGATATCGGAGGCACAACTCCTTCCATCGATACTGACCATCCAACTATTGGATTCCCCCATCCAACAAGTGGAGAGTCCTTACTCCGACATTGAGACGGTAGAGCTCCTAAGTCACCAAATGGGTGCTGAGCCTTCTCCCTCTCCTTCTACTTTGTCGGCATCAATGATATCAGAGGCTCCCGATGTTGAAACACGTCGGTACCGACACGCTTCTTGCAGTACGCAATGTCATCCTCCGCATCTCCATGTCCAATCTGTCGATATTGACGACCGAAACTACAGGGACGGTTCTCACGGACAGGCTATTGTTTTGTCTCCCAGACCTCCACGGTCCAGAAGCCGATCCCCCCCGAGTCTTCCTGCCCCCTCCACCGATATCTTGGGATCAACGACAGTTGAGGTACCTGTACGGGGCTTATCCACCATCCATGCCGTGGTTGACTCCGGCAGGCTATTCTGATTGGGATTGCTATTCATCCCACTCTGTTCATAGATCGAGGTCGCCCCACAAGTCGAGACCTTCGGCATCTCTTGTCTCGTCCTCCTGCAGATGATCCTTCCCACCACCATAGTCTGGAACCAAGTCGTCCTCCCAACCCGCAGGTCACTCCAAACCCTGTTGTTCCACCAAAATTTATAGCTTGTCAAGAGGACACTTTGGTCCAGATACCACACCAAGACTCCTCTGACTCCATGGAAGAAGACTCGGATACGGAAGCATCTGAGGCTCATACCTCTCCTGACCATAAATCTCCCAACAAGGCTGTCACTGAGGACCTACCCATATCCCCATCCGACAACCTTACGTCATACACAGATTTAGTCAAAAGAATGGCCCACTCTTTAGGCTTCTCTGTCGTCCATCAACATCCGCAGGCAACAGATGCCGTTTTTGATATAGTCCTGCTTGATACCTCTTCCACCTTGGCATTGCCCATGTCTTCAGTCCTTTTGCAGGCAGCAAAGGCACCATAGCTAAAACCCTCGTCAGCCCCGGTGTCCACGAGACGACTGGACCACATGTATAGGGTCCAAGAGGCAGATGCCAAGTTCCTATTCTCGCACCCTCAGCCAAACTCGATGGTGATAACATCTTCCTCTAAATCCAAGAGGACACACTCTGCTCCTTCTGACAAGGAAGGTAAGAAATTGGATGCCTTTGGCAGACGCTTCTACTCCACAGGAGCATTGGGAGTCAAGGCCACTAACTACCTGGCCTGCATGAATAGGTATCAATATACTCTCTGGGAACGGTTCTCCGAACTTCTGACCCACCTCCCAGAAGACAAACTCCAGGCAGCCAGAGTCATCCAAAAGGAAGGCATGGTGTTGGCAAAACAACAGCTCAACACTACTAAGCATGCCCTCGAGGCATCGTCCAGAACGATGGCCTCTGCAATAGCCCTTAGGAGACATTCCTGGCTCCGCAATACTAATCTGCCCATGGATACTAGATCTTATGTGGAAGACCTTCCATTTGATGGCCTGGGACTTTTTAATGCCACTACTGATTCTACTTTACAAGAATTAGATAAAAGCATAAAAGCTTCTCGAGCTCTAGGAGTGTCATCCTCTGAGAGGCAACAATACTGTCCCCGCACCTAGTCGAGATCCTGGCAGAGGCGTACCCCAAGTCGTCAGTCTCCAGACACACAATGAAGACCGCGAACACCTTCATCAGGCACTACGCCCTAGACGTCCGTACGAACACCAATACCAACATGGGACGTCACGTTCTATCCTCGGCTACGCAGTAAAGGACCTGCCAGCACCCTCCTCCAGGTAGGCCACTGCTCGCTAGTCTCCCATGGGTGTGAAGCACAGAGACCACGTCAAAGATAAACAGGTTGCTTACCTGTAACTGGTGATCTTCGAGTGGTCATCTGTGCATTCACACCACCCGCCCTCCTTCCCCGCTGCTGTCAGCTTCTACATTTTTAATAGGGATTGATTTGTGGCGGTTTGAAGGAACTGGCAGGATGTCCGCGCCCACCCCTCTGGGCATGCGCGGTGGGGTTCCTGCGCATGCCCGAGGGACTGGGTGCGAAAATCCGTTAAAAGAGCTTGCTACAGCACTGATCGATCCAGCGTGTGCGCACTAGATCCCATGAGTGTGAATGCACAGATGACCACTCGAAGATCACCAGTTACAGGTAAGCAACCTGTTTTTCCACAGAGCCTGTAAAACAGCGATGTTACACCAGGCCTATGGTTGAAGCAGCAGAACTCCATCTGTATTGGCCTCCCCTGTCTTTATCCTTTCTTAGTATTTTTACTATCATGGGTACACAGATGTAGAGCTTCCAGGAGTAGCTATCACCATGTTATAGATTGCCATCTAATGGTTTAGGATTAGCCGATATTATATAAGTTTTAATGATTGTAGGTATATTTAATTGTGCTTAATTTTATTGTTTTATATGCTTCGTTGTAACCCGCCCTGAGCCTTGCTGTGCAGGGGAGGGAGGGCTTGAAATCAACTCAGCTCAATAAATAAAATCCTAGCCCTACCAGTCTGGTTATTTTGAAGTGTCTTATTGAGAAGTTTCCACTGAAAGCACACCTACATGTATGAATTGGCTCACAGCAGGCTGCCCTGATAGTGGAGCAGATTTCATTATAAGTAAAATTGTTGAATTACTTTAATATATTTTTAAAATGTCAGTGTTCACATGTTTACAGGAATCTGTGTCCTGACAAGTGGCATTGCTGTAGTGCCTGATTCACAGTACAAAAGCTATACCTGCATCCTTTAGGAGGCCTGGTTTATTAAGCGGAGAGAGAGAAACTTCAAAAAAATGACAAGCCTCTGAAATGATTGTTGATGGTTAAGTCCAGCAGTAATGGTGGCACAACCTTATACCCCTGGCCAAAATCTATTGAGAATGC